TTTTTTCAATTTTTGTCCCGATTCGTATCTGTAGTGTACTGATGAATTGCTTTGAAAAGTTTGATTGAAGTTTTTATCATCTTGGATGCTCGGAAAGTATTTTTCTCATTATTTTACTTCGTTCGCTTTTGGAGTAACAAAAACTTGGGAATGTGGGTGATCATGCAATAGTAGTAAAGTATTATTTGAGCAGTAGTAGGAATTTCATAAACTGAAATATATTGCAAATTTTGGCCCAAATCGGTTAACAAGTTCTCGATCTAGAATATGTACAAATATACAGACTGCACCGAGTATGGAAATACTACTGGCAGGTAGTATTGTAAATTAATCATCTCTCTTGCGTCATACTAAACCACGTAGTACTCTGTGATTAGGTCTCTTTCTATGCTGCCCGAATCTCGAACGCGTGCTAAGTCTCTTCGCAGCAGATGCTAGGAATTAGGTTCGCGTCCGTATCTTCGCACACCTTCTAATTGGTCTTCTCTCCGCGGAAGTAAATTGTGCAGAATCTTCAAATACTGATTTTCTAAGCCTTACGAGTTTAGCATTGAAGTCGTACGAACCATCAGAGAGGCAACAATACGCTTAACCCGATCGGGATGCAAAGCGATACTGATCATTGAACCTGAAAACGTTGGGATAGCAATCCGAAGGTCGCTTCGATCGTTTGCCGCGCCCTAGAACAATGATTTATTACGCTGACATAGAGGACTCAGCTTCATCTGCTCAGCATGGTATTGAACAGCCTTACTCGCTTAAATTCTTGTTGAACCTCCTTCTGCTGGCGTGTCGGCCTCTCTCTGCCTGTACGGTCTTATGAACCCGTAGCTCTGGGCAGACCACGAGAAAGTGATACTGGACAGGGCCTACCCTGCCAAGGTTTCTGGTAGGAGGGAAGATTTCATCATGGCGAGGACTACACTCTCATTGTTCTTGTGAAGCAGCAGACCTTGATGACGGAGGTCCGGAAAAGCCCGGCATCACCAGCGCGACCAGGTGCACCTATGTCATACGCTAGGATCCGGCGATCACTATCACTTATATCTAGCGGGATAATGGAGTGGTAGTGCTTGTAATTCCAGTAAGCGCTGCCTAAGTGAGCGGGCTTCTGAACGTCACGATTCGAAGTCATAATTAATGCTACCAGAGGAACCTCGATACGTATATGCTTGCCATCCATGAATCCCACAGCCCTGGGGTAGTCGAAAATCTCCTGCTTGTGGTTGCTTGCTACGGTTTAGAGCGGGTTACTCGTGGAAAAGCTTGATGATGCAAAACTAAATTCAACG